AAGTTTTGATTTATATGAAATTATTTAACGACAAAATACAAGGAATGGTTTTCCGGGTGGATCAGCTCCATGTAGCTCATCCCGTTTCTAAATGTCCTTTTTCTAGAGCAGCAGTCGGTTCAGTTTCAATCAGATAAATGTTAATTTTTTGCAGAAAATCATCAGTTGGTTTGGTTGTTGGAGCCAAGGGCTGAAGGCATAGGCGAATCTACTGGGGTGGCATAGGGTGGCAAATGCCTTGCCACCCTATGCCACCCCAGTTGGCGGTAGGGGTGGCCAGGCTTATAAATTATGGATAATTTGAGAATTACGACCGCTAATTTCCAATGTCGGACTGCAGTGAATGCAGCACGAGATGACGCGAGAGCGACGGAGACTGATATGCGGTCAACTATGACAGAAAAGAGACTATCAGTTTGGTTGTACGCAAATCAAAACGCACAAAGGCATTGGAGCTGAATACATTAGTGAAGCGTTTTGCTGAGCAACATGGAAATCGCTGCATTCAGCTGTTATATAGTCATGTTAACTTTATGTTTTGCTCTCTGGTGAGCTTTTACAGAGCTGTTACATTTTGTTTTGCCACCTGAGAAAATCTGATATTTCCTTTAATAAAACCAAAAGTGTTAAAAGTAAAGTTAAAAATGTGATACTGGTGTAAATCCTGCTTAATATGAAGCAGCGTTGTTGTTTCTTTTTTTTTGTATATATAGTATGAAACTATCCAGAAATTACCTGTATGAACCTACTCACAAAATGTTTTGTACTTTTTCAGACTGGAGTCAAAATGTATTTTTATGTTGCTTTTTTTCAGATTTGTGGAGATTTTGATGTAACATACAGTACCTGCCTTTTTGTTGATTTGTTGATACAGCAGCTCTATCTACAGCATATCTACATGCATGAAATGTCCCTTTCATGTTGCCGTAACTGCTGTATGTCAAGTTACTGAAGAACAAATGGGGTAAATGTGTTTAGAGTAAACAATACATACATGTCTGGTCCCTTGTTTGGGTGCCTTGACCCGTTTATTTCTACTGTGTAGTTCTGCTCACTTTAGTACAGCTCAGTCCATAGATCTATGATGGGTAACTTTTTCTTTCTATAGTTTCTTCTTGTGCAAATGCTGCAAAGCTGCCTCTCTGAGTCAATCTCACACATCTGCAACTCAGCACCTGTGTCTTACCTTAATACCTTTCCTGTCATTAGGCCCCTCTAGAAGTAGTGTAATCATTCTTCTATCTCCTATTAATTGAGATCACATTGTACGATGTATTTCTAATATGATCAGTTTCGCATTAAACATTTACTGTACATACAATTCTCACCAAACTGTGATAACTGTGATTAAATTTGGTGTAAACAAATTCCATATGTTGCCACCCCTCAAAAATTCCTGCCCCCCTCTCGCCACCCCATAAATATTTTTCTAGATCCGCCCCTGGCTGGAGGCTTCCTCCCACCGCCACTGGTTCCTTCAGTAGTGTTGGATTTACAGATGGCTGCCCCTCCTCTCTCTCTCCCTCCTCCTCCTCGTCATTTCTCCCCTCTCCTCCTGAGCTCAACCTTTGCTCTTCAGTCTCGGTTCTGGGTGTGGGTCACCCTCCCAGGCTGACTGGAAGCAGCAGCAGCAGGTTAGTTCCTCCAGACGCAGATGGTTGGTGTGGGCTGGTTGATATCCAGAGATGGATCCAGAACTGTGGGTCACCCTGAACTCCTATTAGACTGAAGGAAGATGCAGCATCAGCGGCTGCTCTGTCTGCTGCTGTGCGGTCAGATCGGCGCCTCTCAGCTGCTCCGGAACCTAAAGTCCAGCTTGGGCCCTCATTATGAATCCACCACCGCCGACAGGAATGCGCAGGGCAGCCGCTGGCGCACAGTCAGCTGGTGGGACAATGGAAGAACTTTAGCCAAAGTCCAGCTGCCTGGTACCGTAAACCCAGAACCATCCGAACCGCTGGCAGCGAAGCTCCGAAGGTCTGCGCGTAAAAGCTCAGATTTACGCACAGAGGAGAGAAAAGGTGGCGGCTCTGGGGGAGGAGAACAACCCGCGCTGGGAGCTGAACGCGTCGGTGGAACCGATGATCCGGAGAACAGGCCGAACCGGAGGAGGCGGAATGAGCCGCTTCTGGACCGACCCAAAGCTCTGCCTGTGTCCATGGCGCAGGAACAGGACGCACTGTCCCCCTTGGTGTCCAACAGCAGTAGCTATGAGGAGGAGGAGGAGGACACCACCCCGCTGGGCCCGGTCACCCCGCGGACCAGACCCAAACACATGAGGAACCCCTTCTACCCGCTCAGTGCGGCGTCCTGCGGGGCTTATGCGGTGCTGATGGCGGCCGTCGTCATCTTCAGCGCGGGGATCCTGGCCAACATGGCGCTGATGTGCATAGTGTGCCATAACTACTACATGAGGAGCATCTCCAACTCCCTGCTGGCCAACCTCGCGCTCTGGGACTTCATCATAGTCTTCCTCTGTCTGCCGCTCGTGGTTTTTCACGCGCTCACCAGGAACTGGCTGCTGGGAGAGTTCTCCTGCAGGATCGTCCCCTATCTGGAGGTGAGAGATGATCATCAAGGGCCAGGGGGAACGCAGAGGTTCCTGATATTTGGGGTCAGATGGGCACAAGATCAGGAGCGGGGATGAAAACTTTCCAGATCAAATCACATTCAACTGATTTGCTGTCTGTGTCCATCATTTTAGTCCAGATTTACTCCCAAATTTCCTCCACCTGTAGCAGCAGCTCTGCTGCAGCAGACTGACAGACTGAGGCAATCAGTCATGTTCTGACAGACTGAGGCAGTCAGTCATGTTCTGACAGACTACCCTTAGCTGGGTCTGCCTAGATGATTATCTCTGTTTGTTTTTCTGGTTTATTCCAGTTCTTCCTGGTATCACTTTTAAAAGTGAACCATCAAACTCTTTCCACGCCGGTCTTCCTGATCCACCTGCCTGTGAAAGAAGGTCATGGATCTGATGGCTTGATGATGGTCTGTATTTTAGAAACACAGTAATCCTGTAGATCTATGAGGTCAGAGAAGAGTGGAAACGATGTGATTAGTGTCGCTTCCCACTGTGAAAAAACCCTCCAGAATGTGTCACAATCTGTTCTTCCGTCTGACTGGGGAGAGAGATTAGGGAGTCCCCTCTCAGACTGGGATTAGATGGTGACCTCCTTTTGACCACGGGACTGTCTGTATCACTGGGGCCAATGAGGAGCTCTACTCAGTATGCTTCAGTCTCAAAATAAATGTGCTGCACTGTTTGGAAAGGCAGGCTTCCAGCAGGACAGGTGAGGTGTTGCTTTAGGATGTTCTGCTTTAGAACAAACCTCTGCCACAACTTCTGACCTCCTATTGGTCCAGAAAAGGTCACATGACCTGCTAACACCTGGAGGCCAAATGAACCAGAAGTTTGGGTTATGGGCGATCACTCAGATGGATAGAAGGTTTGGAGGTTTGCTGTTAGATTCAAGTTCAGTTTAAAATCCAGTCATATTATTCTACTGGTTCCATCTGGGATCATCCAGAATTCCCATCATCTTTATTCCACCTGTTCTGTTATCCAGAAAGCCATCCAATGGAATAAGGAGGCCCCTGGATCAGGGCCCTTAGTGTAAACTAACAGAGGTCCCTGGTTAGATCAGGGCCATTAGTGTTAACTTACAAAGGCCCCTGGTTAGATCAGGGCTCCTAGCGTTAACTTACAGAGGCCCCTGGTTAGATCAGGCCCTTAGTTGTAAATTAGGTCCCTGGTCATGTGTCGACAGGTCAAATGACCCTGCAAGCGACCTGAGACATTAGACCTGGGTCGCACTAATGACATCATCAGTGCTAACTCTGCGTGAGTCCTGGTGGTCTTCAGGTGAATCCTTAGTTCTGCCGGAAGCACTGTCTGCCATGTTGCTCATATGCTATGATGGTGAGCCTGAGATGATATGTTTACATGCAGGAACATGGAAACCTGCATGGCTGGAGAAAAACACCAAGGCTGGTGTGGGACATCAGTCCATAGTTCACCTGAAATGAGACCTTTGGTTAGAACCTGGTCCAGAGTTCACCTGAAATGAGACCTTTGGTTAGAACCTGGTCCATAGTTCACCTGAAATGAGATTGTTGGTAAGAACCTGGTCCAGAGTTCACCTGAAATGAGACCTTTGGTAAGAACCTGGTCCAGAGTTCACCTGAAAGGAGACCTTTGGTTAGAACCTGGTCCANGGAGATTCCAGTTTCTATCCTCTGTGCTTTCAGGCAGTAATTCAGTAATATCAGAATAAAATATGAGCAAAATGATGTGGAATGAGTTTGTTTTCAGTTCAGTTTTTAACAGCAGGGATTTTATTCTGAAGGATTATTCTCCATCAATTCTTTGACCCAACTCTGATGCAATACCCCCACCTTGTGGACGCGGTATATAGTTGCACTTCTTTCTATTATGACAACAATTCTGGATTCTTTTATTGTTCATTTAAGGTGAAATTATATCAAGTGGAATTTGAATATCTAATTTGCCACCAACTGATCCAACAGCTTCTTTAAGTTTCTCTGTCATTGACTAATTAACTTGATTTGAGTAGAATTAGCTCTTTAAAAACATGCCTGCCGCTCACATATAAGGAACCCTGATTGACCAATCAGGAACTTTTTGGTCGAGTCATGAAAAATTATTAAGTTGATCATTTTAAAACTCAGCTTACTTTGAATAGAGTCAGGTCAGAGGTCAGACTGGGTCATTGTTCCAGACTATAAACCTCTACTGACTGAATGTATCTGCTCCATTTCTCCATGTCTGAGCCTGATGATAAACATTTATACTCTGAACAAAATCACCCAGATGGTGGATTATCTCTATGACCATTACAGTCAGAGGTGAGATGTTGCGTCTCTGCGATACGTCGGTCTTTGATCCGTCGGCTTCTTCCTGATCATGACATCTGCTTTGCTTTAACATTCCTTTGGAAGACGTCTCCATGGTTTAATAGATCCGTTTGTCTCCTCAGCCTGGTGCTTTTCTGAGGATCTATAACCTGCGAGCCATCCCTGGATCCAGCAAAGAGCCGGGCCTCACCAACAGCCAGCCAGTGGAGGTGGATCACCTCGCTTTTCATCTTCATGGGGGAACGTCGTACGGCAGAGGCATCAGGATTCTGCCGGAGGACAGTCCAGATGTGCAGGAGCTCAAGAGGTACGTTAGCCAAACCCAGGTGTATATAGATGAAAGGGGCCTACCAGCACCACAACAGCCTGTTATTATCTTCTATTATTCATGCCTGCTTGTTAAACACTTACATTAGCTGCCCATCACGTGTTATGGCTGATGTTCATCTAATTAGCAGAATATTGGAAATGAAATGGGAGCACAGACAGAGTGGATGGTTCCTAACAGATCTCACTGTGCATTCAGATTATCTTTGGGTCTCCTGGATACAGCTGCAGTCAGCCATGTCAGACAGCATCTGTAGGATGGAGTGATGCTGCAGGGGGAGACCCTGGAGATGCTCCTTTAACTGCTATTCTCTGTGAGCCCAGTGGTAAACGCTGCCATCTGTAACACCTGAGTAAGATCCGCTTTAATAAACCGTACTCTGGTCTGGTTTAATGCATCAACATTACCAGGTGTTTGTTCTCACTGATCTGTTCTCAGGAAAGAGCAAAATTAAAGATGTAAACACAGAAACCAAACAACTCTCTCAGCTGCTTCGCTGTCACCAACAGTTCAGCTGGTAGAAACCATAAGGTTCTATGAAAACAGGTTTATTTAAAGTGTTGAGGGAGGGTAGACTTCAGATAAGGAAGAGGAGGATTGCAGGAGCACCCAGTGGGGGGGGGTAGCAGATTAGGCTCTAAACAGCTGGATTTACCTCCAGAATAACTAAATGCACCATAACTGGCCTTCATGCAGAGGGAGGAAGGTACCGGGTGCTCCATAATTCCATTTTCATTTAAAATGCTGCTGTCCTCTTGGTCGTGTGCTTTCAGAGTCATGGAGGCGTTTTCAGAGGAGGAGGAGGAGCCGAGTGACTCAGAACTGCTGGAGGTCTTCTCCACTCCTCCAGAATATTTGGGTATGAACGACGTCAGAGCTAGTAGTGACCTTGTCTGTTCTGCAGTTTGTAGGAAGGAGTTTCTGTGATGGAGGAACGTCTAAAGCAAGCCCTCCAAGTTTTTCCTGCTTCCGCAAAGCTGATGATTGCAGTTAATCACCAATAAACAAGAGGAAAATTCTAAAACGTGCAGGACGGTGGCCCTAAAAGACAAACTTCTGGTTTAAAGGAACCTTTTTAGCGAACATTTACTTCTTATTTCATACAGAATGACCTGATAAAGAGGCCCATTCTCTGATTAATAGAAACCTGTTGCCTGTGAGTGGAATCTGTACAGCTCAGTGTTTATCTTTGTGTTTCAGACGGTGATGCAGTGGACCATCAAACTGGTATGAAGATCATTCCTGAGTCTGCTCCAAATTTATGTCAGAACCGTTTGTCACTCTGATGAAGGATCAACCATGGACAGTTTCCTGCTCCGTTCGCTGATGGCGTTCCAGTCCTCAGCTGAGGAGGCGTACAGACCTGCTGGTTCCTGGCGGCCATGTCCGCCATTAGAACGATCATAGAAACATTGATCCAGGCTGTAGATCTGCTGCTGAAACATCTTAGAAACGCACCACTAAATGTAAATCCCACATGGAGAACAAAGCTGCACATTTCTACTCTGGATGCCAGCGGCAGCCATCTTGAATAGGTAGAACGGTTCTGGTCGTGGTTCTCTGGCTGTTCAGACAACCATCGATATGGTCATAAATTCTGACCTCTGATCACTAATGGATCAAACCATTTCTTCATTGTGGAACCATCAGTTTAATGCTACGTTCACACCGAATGCGCTTTGAGCAGCAGAAGCAGCTGTTTTACATGCAAAGTTTATGGTTGATGCTTATCAAGGCGCCTGAAGAAGCAGCGCCTTATTCATTTTTGATTTGAAAAAGCTTCCTGGATGTGAAGTAAAACATCTTTAAACTTGGAAACAAAGTCCAGTGGATTGTTTTTTAACTGAGTGCGTCACACGTCGCAGATGTTCAGCGCCTGACGCGCTTCACAAGCAGCAGCTGCTAGAGTTGGAAAAATGTAGCTGCTGATGCGCCACATCAAACAATGAAAGAAGCTGATCTGGGAGCTGGCAGGGAGACAGACACAGCACTGCTGATGCAGAGCGCTATGATCACTCCTCTGAAACAGTTTATTAACGCCTAAATTAACTTAAAATGTAGAAACCTGCCGGCAGAATATGTTCACTTTTCTTATCCTGCTGCCTGCAGTTTGTAGCACAGACCTGAAAAACGCTAACATCTACTTCCAGCCGCCACCAACAGTAGGGGAAAACCCTGTAGAGGCGAGCGGGCCTGAGGCAGCTGCTGCTGGGGATTCCCAGTGACAGCGCAGCGCCGGTATGTGGGGGTCTGAGCGGCTCCCACAGAGAAATAATCTTTGAAGGCCGGATGGTAATCTGGATGAACTGACTGCACAGACCATGTTTTCAGGAGGACTTTCTCACTTCAAAATAGATTCAAACTACTTTTTACCCGCTGATCACGCATCTGGACACACTTTACTGGACGTCTGACCTTAATGTGGATCAGAGATGAAGCAGCAGAAGCTTCTTTGATGCTGAAATGGCATCTGGTGTGAACGTAGCATTGCACTGGAGCCTGTCTGTCAACATGAAGTTGGCTCCAGAAGACCTGAGCTAATTCATTAAAATGGGAGAAGTGGACAAAGAAGAGGAGCAGGAACCTTCCTCTGAGAGATCAACGTAGCAGCATGACTCCAAACGCTGGAGGTTACTGAGGGGCCCAGTCAACCTCAAAAGCTCTTTAGGACCACTGGCCACCAAAAACCAGCTCCCCTGCAGAGCAGAAAGAAGCTGATGATCATGTTAGACCCCACTACGTGTTCATCATGGAGATGTGCTGTGGAGCAGGAGGTGAACCTTTGCTCCAACACGGTGGTGGTGGTATCATGGTCTGGGGCTGCTTAACGGAAAGTCTATCTGACTCTTCCTCATGACGTTTGGAGGGAAATATTCCCCATTAAGTTTCAGGATGTTTGGAATAAACATGGAATCTTTATCTAAGATTAAAACAATGATCTAAACCTGCAGGCCGGACGAGACGACATCAGAAGTTTTCTGTTTCCAGGCAACCGTTTGGTTAAAGAAGCATGGATGTCTGGTCTTCAGTCCATTTCTCCTCTCTGTTTTTCAGAGCGAACCTGCAGACATCAGGTCCAACAGGAACCGCTGTCCCAGGTGAAGCAGAATGATCAGAGCCAGGTTCACCACGTCAGAGTCCAGCTCAGCTCCTACCAGCCCCACAGACTCTTCCAGGCTCTCAAGCTCTTCTGCAGCAGATGTTCATCCATGTAGGTCAAACTCTGAGGCTGAGGCTCTGCTGGATCAGGGGCCTGTCTCTGTTAAAGCGGGGTTAACGCTCTGTCTGTTCTTTAAGTTAGCCAGGTTCACCTCAGAGCAGTTAGATNTCACCTGCTTCAGTGGCTGGGTAGAACAAATACATGACATGGAGATGACTTGTTGACTCTACATTGCCCATGTCTGATCCATCCATCCATTTTCTAGCACGCTTATCCCGAGTGGGGTGTTCTTTAAATCCAACATAGAAAATTTTATTTATTGATGCTGTAAGTTGGTCTCCATCATGATGGTTACTAGACCTGAATGTGAAGACATGCTGAAAATAAAAACATTCATATATTACAGGTTAACTGCCTCTACAATGAAGATAATCTGAAAAATAAATCTTTCCTAAAATGTTATCTATGATCGGAGTTGAATGGGTTGGACCTTTGCACTGAGAACATTTTTCTGCTCTGGTGTTAATAAAAAAAAAAAAACATCCCCTCCTTTACCTTTGACCCAGACTAAGAGATTCCGTTCTCCTCCTGGACAGTCAGGGTAAATTTAAGGAATGCTGCTTTCTTCTTTAGGTAAACATGGGGAATGTGTCTTGGCCAGAACCTGTCAACTGTCAGCGCTAGCTGCTCTTTGCTAGCTGGTCTTTGGTAGATCAGAATGTTCCAAGTCTGCTCTGGTCTTTGGTAGATCCGGATGTTCCAGGTCTGCTCTAGTCTTTGGTAGATCCAGATGTTCCAGGTCTGCTCTAGTCTTTGGTAGATCAGGATGCTCCAGGTCTGCTCTGGTCTTTGGTAGATCAGAATGTTCCAGGTCTGCTCTGGTATTTGGTAGATCAGAATGTTCCAGGTCTGCTTGGGTATTTGGTAGATCAGACTGTTCCAGGTCTGCTCTAGTCTTTGGTAGATCAGAATGTTTCAGGTCTGCTCTGTTCTTTGGTAGATCAGAATGTTCCAGGTCCATTCTAGTCTTTGGTAGACCAAGATGTTCCAGGTCTATTCTAGTCTTTGGTAGACCAAGATGTTCCAGGTCTATTCTAGTCTTTGGTAGACTAAGATGTTCCAGGTCTGTTCTGGCCTTTGGTAGATGAATAATTTTTCAGGACTTTAGATCTCGTTTTGTTTGTCCTCCTTCCAGGTGGCGTCTCTTGGGGTCACCACCTTCACGCTGTGCGCTCTGTGCATCGATCGTTTCCGTGCAGCCACCAATGTGAAGATGTACTATGAGATGATTGAGAACTGGGCATCCACTACAGCCAAGCTGGCCGTCATCTGGGTGGGTGCCCTGCTGCTGGCTCTGCCGGAGCTGCTGCTCCGGCAGCTGGTGACGGAGGATGGCGACCCACCGGACGTGGCACCTTGTGAGCGCTGCGTGGTCCGGATCTCCACTGAGCTACCAGACACGCTGTACGTCCTGGGCCTCACCTACGATGGCGCACGCCTCTGGTGGTACTTCGGCTGCTACTTCTGTCTGCCGACGCTGTTCACCATCTGCAGCTCTCTGGTCACGGCCAAGAAGATCCGAGGCGCTGAGCGAGCATGCGTAAGGGGCAGCAAGAAGCAAATCCAGCTGGAGAGCCAGATGAATTGTGCTGTGGTGGCGCTGGCCATCCTCTATGGCTTCTGCATCATCCCCGAGAACATCTGCAACATCGTCACTGTTTACATGGGGGCTGCCGTGCCTAGGAGGACCCTGGACATCCTGCATCTGGTCAGCCAGCTGCTGCTGTTCTGTAAGTCTGCACTGACGCCCATCCTGCTGTTCTGCCTGTGCCAGCCATTCACCAGGGCCTTCCTGGACTGCTGCTGCTGCTGCTGGGAGGAGTGTGGCCCCCCTCGTAACGGCGACGTAGAAAACGAAGGAACCCCCACTGAGCTGGAGCTCTCCCCGTTCAGCACCGTCCACGGGGAGCCCTCCACCTCAGCGGCGTACACGGTGGTGGGGACCCACTGCTGACCGACTGGTTGGATTCTGAGATGTGGAGCTTCTTCATGACAGCAGATGGACTTGTGACGTCTGTCATGTCACACTGGAAAAAAATGAAATCTAGATTAATAAGTAGTCATTTTTTCTTAAAGAAAGTGATTTTGTTCTTGAATTGAGGAGATAAAAAGTATATTTTGAAAATAAAATGAGACAATTTACATTTGAAATAAGAAAACACAATTGTAGCCTCTTATTTCTAGTTTATATTATCTAATTATCTTATTTTAAGAGTAAAAATACTCATTCCATTGGCAAACTATCTCCTTTTCCTACTCAAATTATGGATAAATACACTTAATTTAAGGAATTGTTACTTATTTCTAGATGTTTTGTCCAGTGCAATGACTGGGGCTGAAATCAGGGGGACTGGTTGTCTTCTGAAGAGGAAGAATCTTTTTAGGATTTTCCACCAGGTTTCAGCCTCTTATGTGACGTTGATTCTACTGAAGGAAATAAATGGCAGCCGCGCCACTAAACTACCTTATTCAGGTTGCTGAATAAATAAGGCCATTGTTGGATTAAAGATGTTTGGTAGTCTGAGCAGTGACTTTAAATGGACGACCTTCAGCATGAATTTGCATCAATAGTGCTGATATTTCACAGATAATTTAACCAGAGATTAAGTCTGAAGAGGGAACATACTCAAGCTGACATGGAGCCTGCCATGGGAGCGGCCATTTTGGATCACAGCTGCTGCTCTGCAAGGCAAGAATATCTCCAACCGTACCCTAATCCCAGCCTATTTTAACCTGACTGGATTAAATCCATTAGGAATAAATGATTTTATGTTGCCTTGAACCTCCTTTCATCCTGAAACCAGGAAAACCTCAGTTTTGATCAAGGAAAGCAGTTTGGTCCAGATTTAGTCTAGATGCCAGTTTTAGTTAGTTCTGGATTTTTAGAGCTTAGTCTTTTATTTTTATCACTCTTTATCTGCCATCATTTCTGCATCTGGGCACTAAATGTAAAGACTGTTTTATAAAAGCATCTGTTAATGTTTATAAACCTGCTGCTGATGTGTTTTAGATCTCAAATGGTTCCTTTTTCTTTGACAGTGAAGAATTAAAAGGTTTGTTTCCAGAAGATCTTCTGTCTTTTCAAACATTTTCTCCTTTTTTACCAGCTTAACTGAGAAAAACAGGAGCTCTTTCAAAAGAGACTGATCTCAGATTCTTTGGGTTTTGAAACTTTTTAGATCATCAGAAAAAAATGATTTTAGTAGATATTAATAGTCCTTTCAAAATATTGAGTTTAGATAATAAACTGAAAAGCTAAATTAATGTTCATGTTTAACAGCATCAATATCTGATGACTAAATCTAGAATGAAGAAATCACTTTAACTGAACCCGTCTCACAACATGAAGTAGGCCAAAGATTTAAAAAGGCAGCGGCTGGAAAAGAGGATCTTCTGATGTCAGAGGAGAACCTCCCCAGGAGAAGCCTGCTAATCTGTTCCAGCAGGTCCAGCAGCCTCAGGTGGAGTCATGCAGAGATTAAAAAAGGTTCAAAGCAGAAATGGCCTCTGTGACATTTCCAAGGTCAAACCGTCTCTTCTCTGGTGAAATGATCTTCCAGACTTTGGGAAAATATTCTGTGAGCTAATGGCTTCTAACACTGGAAGGCATTGGTCTGATGCCATCAGGCGGCAGCATTTCAGGCATGGTGGTGATGGTCTGGGACTGTTCTTCTGCTCCAGGACAAAGAAGAGTTTTCATGGGAAATGGAACCGATTCCTTCTGTCACCCCAAACATGCTGAAGGAAAAACATCTGGTCTTCGATTTGACTTTAAGAACAAGAAGGACACGATGGGGAGACTCCTGATTGGCCGGTTAAAGTCCTGGTCTGAGTGCGCAGAAGATGGTGTGACTTTAAACAGCAAGTTCATATTGGAAACCCTCCCATGAATGAATGAGTTAAAAGCTATTAGTCCTCCAGAGTGAATGAAAAGATGAGTTATTATTAGATGAAACCAAGGATCAAAAATTGATTTTTATATTTCCTGAGGTTTTCTTTTAGTCATGTTAATGTTCATCTGCAGCTTTTGCTTCAAACAGGGACACTAGAACTGCTGGTTCTTAAGCTGCTTTTGGTCAAACTCAGACCTTAAAGTTGAGGTTATATTATAAAAAACAGCCAAGAAGACAATCAGCCAAAGACAATTTCCAAGAATTTCTTCCAGGAACTTTCAAATATTGCAGCTTCTCCAGGCCTTCCTGTTAGCCACCATATTTAAGCATTTCTCTTATTATTGCTACTTTTCTGAAGCAAAACCTGAAGTCCAGTTTATGTTGTAGTAATCTAATTTAATCTGACCAACAGACCTGCCCATGTCATCATATTATATTCATAACTTTACGCTAACTGAACAAGCTAGCATGAAGATAAGCTGGAAGCTATTCAAATGTATTTAGCCGTTCTATAGATTTCCCGTACAAACTCATTTTAATAGCATCACCAC